TTGGTTTTAATTAGAGAGAAGGAAGCTTGAAGCCCACATAGTTGGAGACCAGAGACTCCTCCTTGAATCTTTGCCAGAAGGGGACTTGTACACATTGATAAGGAAAAGAAGTTCATTAAATGTGATCGTGATCTCTACCAATATAGCAGATATGGGAGTCTCTCCTAAAAAATAAACTAGATAGTAATAGGCAATGGTGACATATAAAGAGGTGGGGCTCTACCATAGAATAAAAAGTTTAAAAATACAAATGGACATTTTAAAAGAAAAGACTCTACTTGCAAGCAGAAGTCAGGTAAATAGAGTTGCTAGCTTTATTCTTTGTCAGCATGTTCTAAATTAGCAAGAGACTCAACCAGAACTGGGCACAATGGAGAAAGGCAGTTGGCTGTCACACTCACAGCTATCCTTTCTAGGGGACTGGATGAAATCTACCGTCTTCCACATTGCCCATTAAGTTGGCCTGATCTGATGATACTCTAAGCTAGAGGGATAATCTCAGAGTTTTATTCTTTTAATTAAACAAATAAGAAAACCCAAGGTCCACAGCTCCTCAGTTGGGTAATACTGGTAAGATAGATGAGACTAGAAACAGGAAGCCAAACTAAGAAAACAGAGAGCACTTCCATGATAGGGAAGAAAGAAAGTTTATTCCCAACAATAAAAGCTTGATACTGATGATCTGCCCTTTCTCAACCATTTATTCAAAGGAGAATTTGGTCTTTTGGTTTGGAGAAATGACTCAGCTTCTGGATGCTTCTCCAACCTTTTCCCACCAAGTTTGCTATATTTGACACTTAGACTTTATAAAGACAGACTTTGAGAACATGTGTGGTATTTGCTGTTCAAAGTCTAGCTCAGGCCAAGATAATGTGGTTAAAATGCTTTTTTTTTCACATTTTTTTTTCTTTAATCCTCCAACAAAAGTTGGACCCAACTGTGCATGCACTCCTTATGTTATCCAGATATCTTTGCCAATCTTTCACATGCTGTCTTTGGCTGGTATTCCCCTTGAAAGATAACTGAAAAATATGCTTTCTTGTTTGTTTAATATCTGAAGAAAAAACTGATACAACTGAGGTTGGCTTTATCATCGCAAGCATTTTTGGATGACTTGATCTCTCTCTGATCCCCTGTGAAACCAGAGATTCCCAGTTGTTCCAACACACTGATTTTCTTTGGATCCTTTTTGACTTAACTAATCTAATATGATTTCATGAGTATAATTGATGCATCTGTACCTGATTGAAACTCTTATGTTAATATTTTCCTCTTAGGAATAAGAAATAATATTTTTCACTAAAAAATAAACATTGCATGACCAAGCAACTAAGACTTAAGGGTACTTAAGTCCTTTTTAATTCTAGTTTTTTCTAATAAAGCAGTTTAGCCCAGTCAAAAAATTAATAAAAAATAAATAAGACAAGCATTTTAAACCTCTTCATACCCCTTCTGGAGTTTAGAATCTTGTCTACCCAGGGCTCTTCTCTGCAGTTTCAAATTCTTGTGCTTTCTATGCCAAATAGCTGTAGGGTTCTGTTTAAATCCCATCAGATTCTTTTTACAGCTTAAATAGGACCCTGAAGGTCACTTCTAGACTAACCCTACTGTCTCTGTGAGAATATCCTCATCACACTACCCCCATCCAATTATTTTTAAATTCATTCTTCAAAGTTAAAAAAAAAAAATGTAACTGAGCCATATCCGCAGAAATGCTAGAACTTGCCATTTTCTTTTTTATCTTTCATAGGAATGGCATTTTTAAACACAGGCTTATGTCAGACATTGAACAGTCTCCACACAGGAATGAATGTTTTGATTAAAAGTTATTTAATATCTCTAGTTCCTTGGAACTCTGCCAAAAGCTAGAGATATTCATAGCTGCAGGTCTTGTGCCTTTGACTAGAGAGAAACATGCCTCAAAATCTAGAGGGAATAAGTGGCATTCTCAGAATAATTGCCTGATTGTATAGGTGTTTATATCACAGAAGATACTGATAGACTGAGAATTAGGAATTCAAAAAGTATGTTGGTAATGAGGAACATGTCAAAACAGCATCTTTCTATGTAGTTCTCTGACTACATCCATTGATTCTCAGCCTTTTGGTTAAAACTAGGCTTAGGGTACTACAGTCATATAACAGACCTTAAGAGTAGAATTCTGGGAGATGGAGGCATGGGGAGAGGTTGGATTAATGGCACTGGTAATAGTTAGGAGAAATAAGTTCTGGGGTTCTGTTGCCCAGTGGGGGTCTATAGTTAATGTTAATGTACTATATATTTCTCTATTTAAAAATTAAAGTTTGGATTTGGAGTGTTTTCACTATAAAGAAATTTTAAATGTTTAAGGAGATAAATATATTCAGTCTAGTTGGACATTAAATCATGTATACCTGTATTGGAGCATCACATGGTACCCCATTAACATGTTTAGGGTTTAGGTTAGGGTTAGGGTTAGGGTTAGGGTTAGTGTTTCTTAAAAATTAAATAGACTTTTGTAAAGTTTGCATATAGTTTTCTTAATTTTCATTTAGATTTGGGGTAAAGAAAATATTTTTAAACAAGTTGGTAGTTAAAATATAAAATTTTCTTTAACCACTTTCAATGTAAAGTAATGGTGACAGATTGTCATAGAACCTAAAAGTGAATACAAAAGGAAAAAGGAAAGCTATATTCCAAAATACAAATAGGATTTTTATTCAATGAGTTATTTTAGCTTCAGGGGGAGTATTGTTCTCACTCAGTACAGCCTCTTTTAACTACCATCATTTTGAGACAAAACATTTGAAGAACATTGAATTATTTTTCCAGCTTTCCAATGGCATCTCATGCATTTAGATATTGATGCGACACATTTAGAAGTTGGGCCCTCTGGACCTGTGTGTGTGGTGGCATCGTGCTACTATCATCACAAGATTTCATTTTTTCCAACCCCCAAGGTCCTGTCCTTGTTTACAGGTCAATTGGATAGTAAATCCTATGCATTCAATGGCATGGGTGTTATCATGGTAACCTTGGCCAACAAGAAAGCTATGATTTCAAAACCTCACACGCTGTATCATAAAATTAGATAACAGAATTGACGTTTAGATACATGTCTGTCATATAAATTAAGCTCTGAGAGTTATTTCATTTACAGCTTTGTGCCTTAATATGGAAATGGAAGGCACCAATTAGGACAATTTTATACATATACATTCTGTTCCCAATTTAGATACTGGATGGAATTCCTTAATTCTTTCTCTATGATATTGAACTTCAGATATTGTCATACTATTCTTACTGTGCCAGAACTCATGGTGGCTTTATTTTATGATCAGGACAAAGATTATAGCAGAGCTTCATCAAATACCCGATATAAATAGGATTATGAATAATAGAAAACTCAGCCTGTGAAAAATGTAAAATTCAAAGCATTCTTGGCTTTACTGGACCGTTATTTATGCTGACTGGAAGGAAGACTGAGCATAGAATATTCCACTAACTAAATCAAGATTCCAAAGACAAGACATGCTTCACTTTCATTTATATATTTATGCATGTTTTTACACATATTATTCCAGCATCCAAGAATCTTTGATAGTATTTTTATTTTGAATAGATTCTAACCATGCAGATTAATACATTCATCTACTTTGAGTCCTAGGTCCTCTTTTGTAATTTGAAAATATTTCAATCTCAGAATTTTCCTTTCTATTTGCTGTGGTGTGGTGCAGTTTTTTTGGGATATAAATTTTAAGACTAAACTTGTGAATTACATTTAATGTAAGCACCCTGCAGTTTTCTGCATTGCAAATGATTATTTTTAGAAATTTTATGGTTGCCTGCATATATTTGTTTGTCTTCATTGATATGTAGGAGGGAAAGCTCATTAATGATGTAAAAAGAAGGTACGTTGATTCATAGACTTGATTCTTCTCATTATATAAACAATAAAGGCAATAAATTAACATCTAATAAAATTGTAAAGTTTATTTCTGAATTTAGCTGCAAGATAGTGTGTTGAATTCTCAAGCATAATTTTATTAGTCTTGTTTGTTAGTCTTTATATTACTCTGCCTCAGTAATTCAGCATATTTAAATCTAGAACAATAGTTTATAATTACTGCTAAAGATACCTTCTAGCATCTATACATCAAACACTACAATTGAACAACTATTTTGTAAAACAATACTTTGGCTTCTAGAATGGTAAGTTACTATGTAAAAATGAAGTATTTTTATGTCAACATTGACCACAAAACAAGTTTTCTTTTCCCATTTACCTGCTGTACCATATATAACATTTAAAACTTTGCCTCCAATATTTCCTCATCTTATCAGCTATCCGTCTTGCCTAGCTGTTTGATAAATACTGCCTCCTTGACTAATACCTAGTAAAGAGTCAAAATTCCTGCAAATTCAAGATTTTTCTTTTCAGAAACAGATAAGTAGTTTATGCTCTTTCCATGTGTGCATAAGTGGGAAGAAGGGCAGAAATCCTTCTATGTATTTGCTGACCCTGGATAGCAAATACTTGTTACATTTTCAGTAGTGTTTAAACTGTTTGCTTTATCTCATGGGGTTGAATCATTGTCACCTTCACGTTCAAACTGGTAAAAGGTAGTTTTTTTGTTTTTAATTATTTTCTTTTATCTTGAAACTATTTCTTTGAAATAGAAATAGTTCAGCATGTTGTGGTGCCAGGACTGAGTCAAGTTTGGATAACCATCTCTACCATAAACTGACTTCATTGGAAACTTTTCAGTGCATAAGCATTCCGTAGTGTGGTATGGAAATGAACTGTTAGGCTGTGTTGTGGGTGCTGGAATGTGGGGGCTTAGCAGGCTGTTTGCATGATTCCAAGATATGTTATATTCTCTGGTTTGTTTGTTTGTTTGTTTTTTTAAACTGTGACATGATGTGACATTAGCTGGGTGGGGAAGGGGAGGAACCATAATGGTATAAAAGAGGGGAAAAGTTGAAAGGCAATACATGTTTCTTTTGTGGCTTCCTTTTAGGTCCGATGTTGTGGTCCTCTGTTTTTCGATCGCTAACCCCAATTCCCTAAATCATGTGAAAACCATGTGGTATCAAGAAATCAAGCACTTTTGCCCTCGTACACCTGTTGTCCTAGTTGGCTGCCAGCTCGACCTCCGCTATGCCGATCTTGAAGCTGTGAATCGAGCCAGACGCCCTTTAGCAAGGTAAGCCAAGGACTCAGTGTTTCACTGCACTGGGCAAATGAAAATTTAGAGCTAGCAGGTGTATCTGTGGCCTGGAATTCTGTTCTTCAGTGGTTCTGGTACTCCCATCAATCAGCCATATGCTTTAAGTCAGCCCATTAATCACAAGAGAGCATGCTCTGACTCCCTTCTCATGTTCACCATCATCTCTTAGATCAGAACTCATTTTTGTGAAAAAGTTGGCCAGTACTTGAAAAGAATTCTGTTTTTATAAGGTGGTGTGTAAAATGCCTTGAAATTTGTAAAGTATTAAACAAAATGTTAGCTACCCATAATAAAATGCCCTTCTTCAAGTTATGATTATTACAATAAAAATAATTCACAGAGTGATTAACAATTGTGGATCTCCAGGGAATATCATGTTCATTCACATATGCATATCCAGATGTTTTTACCCTTCCTCAGGTTCCTGAGTTCCACTTTGAGAGTATTTCCATCCTAAGATGACAGTGGACAATGTCCAGTTGTTTTTTTTTTTTTTAAGATTTTTTTATTTATTTATTTGAGAGGTAGAGTTACAATCAGTGAGAGGGAGAGACAGAGAGAAAGGTCTTCCATCTGCTGGTTCACTCCCCAAATGGCCGCAAATGGCCAGAGCTGCGCTGATCCAAAGCCAGGAGCTTCCTCCAGGTCTCCTACTTAGGCGCAGGGGCCCAAGGGCTCAGGCCATCTTCTACTGCTTTCCCAAGCCATAGTAGAGAGCTGGATCAGAAGTGGAGCAGCCGGGACTAGAACCCGCGCCCATATGGGATGCCGGCGCCGCAGATGGAGGATTGACCTACTGCACCACAGCGCCAGCTCCTAGGGTCCAGTTTTTAAAACTCATTTGGACCAGACCAGGCATCCCACTAAATGGTTAAAATGCTCGTGTCCCACTTCCTGCCCAATGCGGGCCCTGGTATATAGCAGTATTGACTCATGTGATTGGGTTCCTGCCACCAAGGCGGGAGAAACTGGGTTGTTTTAAAGATCCTGGCTTTGGCGCCAACTAGGGGCCACTGAGGGAATTTTAAGAGTGAACCAGTTGACCGGCGCCGCGGCTCACTAGGCTAATCCTCCACCTGCAGTACCGGCACCCTGGGTTCTAGTCACAGTTGGGGTGCCGGATTCTGTCCCAGTTGCCCCTCTTCCAGGCCAGCTCTCTGCTGTGGCCCGGGAAGGCAATGGAGGATGGCCCAAGTGCTTGGGCCCTGCACCCGCATGGGAGACCAGGAGGAAGCACCTGCTGGCTCCTGGCTTTGGATTGGCGCAGGCGCCAGCCACTTGGGGGGTAAACCAATGAAAGGAAGACCTTTCTCTCTGTCTCTCTGTCTCTCACTCACTGTCTAACTCTGCCTGTCAAAAAAAAAAAAAAAAAAAAAAAGAGTGAACCAGTAGATAGGTGCTCTCCCTCTCTGCCTCAAATTAAGTTGTTAAGGCACTTGTTGTAGTAGTTAAGATGCTGGCCTGGGACGCCTCCATGCCATAACACAATACTTGGGTTGGAGTCCTAGCGCCACTCCAAGTCCAGCTTCCTGCTAATGTACACCCTTTGAGGCCATGGGTGATAATCCAGGTACTTGGGTCACAGCCACCCATGTGGGAGACCCAGATAAGGTTCCTGGTTCCCTACTTCTGTCTGGCTCAGCCCCAGTTGTTGTAAGCATTTGGAGAGTAAACCAGCAAATGGAAGATCTCTGTCTGTCTCTGTCTCCCTGTGTCTTTCTTCCTTTAAAATAAAATATTTTGGGGGTCAGTATTGTGGCATAGCAAGTTAAACCTCCGTCTGCAATGCTGGCATCCCATGTGGGCACTGGTTCCAGACCCAGCTGCTCCCTGCTAATGCACCTGGGAAAGCAGTAGGGGATGGTCCAATTTCTTAGGCCCCTGTACCCATGTGGGAGACCCAGATGAAGCTCCTGGCTCCTGGCTTCAGCCTGGCCCAGCCCTGGCTGTTGTGGTCATTTGGAGAATGAAACAGCAGATAGAATATCTCTCCTCTCTTTGTAACTCTGCCTTTCAAATAAATTTTTAAAAAAATCTTAAAATAAAATATTTTAAATGGAAAAAAGGAGTAGGATTTTTAAAAATCTGTACTCCCTCAGCTTCCATTTACAAAAAACTAGTTTGTGTCTTTTTTAAGTTTGTTTTTGCTGCAGAACATAGCTTTTCAAAAAGATTTGATGTTAATATCTTCCTTCGATGTTTGCCTAATAGGCCTGTCACAAGATTTTATTTGGACAGAACTTTTTTATGCTGTCACAATGAACATAAATGATACTTTCTTTGCATTGTCTCTGATACTCTAGGTACATTTTGGATAAAATCGTGAAGGCATTTCATGTTCATTTTTCACAGCCCTTCTGTTCTTCAATGCATGGACTAGGAAATTGAATAGTAGGAGGCACACAGAAGGGAAGAAGGCTGCAGGGACTGAGAGACAGCCCCTGGCCCCAGAACTTTCTGAATACAGGAATAGGTTAAGGTAATCAGGCCTCACAGCCATGGACATGGGAGGGCTGGAGTAGCGTGTAGGGCTGAAGGGGACAGAGGATGGGATAATCCCTTGTGTAGGGCAACTCTGAGAAGGTTTCATGAGGGAGGTGGTATTTGAGCTAAGCCTTGAAAAGTTAGTTAGCAAGTTTCAGGTCAGTCCTAGGAACAAGGAAGACAGTTCCCCAGAGGAGCAAACCTTGACCTTAAACCTTCTTCCCTGCACTTTCCTTCCACTTTGGCAAATGTACTGCAGTTTGTCCGCTTCTCTATCCAGATCCTCAAATGCAACTCTATCCAGTATCAGATTTGTCCTTTATTTTCCTAAGTCCAGTGCCTGTCGTATGCATTACCTTTGGTGTTGAAGACCAAATATTGATTTGAGAAGATCAGTTCCTTACAATATGAATCAGAATCAGTATGCATTTGTGAAGAGTGTAAGAAGATTGCATGTCACCTGTGTTCTGGAATCCATCTCTCCCTTAACCATGGCTGTTTCATAACCATAGCACTCTCTTACTTTTACTTTCCAAAGATTTTGGCTTCCCTGGGTTTGATTAGATTGTAAGTGGGCCATGTGTGCCAGCCTAAAGGGTGTGGACTTTATTACATGGGCTTTGTGGAATTAGAGAACATCAACACAGCATTGCCTCCAAGTCATACTTGTGTTACATAAGGGCTTTTCTTGCAGCTAAAATGTGGACTCTGACAAAGACCAATTAAGAGGCTAACGCACCTGTCTAAGCAGAAGATGATGAGGGCTTGAGGAAGGGAGTGGAGGAAATGAGGAAGGGAAAGAAAGGGGCCTCGTGAAACAACAGAAGCTACTTGATGAGCTGTTGGAGCTCATAGTTTAACTAGGGCAAGCCCGGTCTCTGATTGCTTAGAAGTCTCACAGCAATTTGCAGATGTGGTCTTAGGTACATCCTTTAAACTTTCTATCTCAGCTTCCTCATGATGTAGAATTAAAATGATACGTCATAGAGTCGTTGTGAGGCTGAAATAAAAAATATATGGACACAGATGCACTATATTTAAGATATATTTAATTTATTTGAAAGGCAAAGTGACAGGGAGAGACAGAGAAAGAGATCTTTCATCAGCTGATTCATTTCCCAAAATGGCCACAATAGCTAGGACTGGGCTGGGCTAAAACCAGGAGCCTGGAACTCCATCCGGGTCCCTGACATAGATGGCAGGGCCCCAAATACTTGGGCCATCTTCCACTGCTTTCCCAGGCCCGTTAGCAGGGAGCTGGGTCAAAAGCAGAGCAGCCAGGATTCAAACCAGTGCTCTAGTATGGGATGCCAGTGTCACACGCAGCAGCTTCACTCACTGCACCACAATGCAAGCCCTGACATGTGTGCATTTTAAAGATAGAAAGCAAAATGTAAGCATTATGTGATGATGATGATGATGGTAGTGGCAAAGATGACAACAGTTAGGAAGTTACGATGGACCCAATGTATTGTCTCATTTAAACCTTTCAATAGTCCTGTACAATATGGTTCTCATCATTGTTGTTCCCTTTTTACAGGCGGTAAAGCCAAGGCTTAAAGAAGTTGTTACTTGTCCATGATCAAATAACTAGTAAAAGGCTGATACTAACATTTCTCTGGTTACCACTGAAAGCACTTTTTCATCATAAATCCCTTCTATATTTGAAAAATTTGAGGTTGGAAGTAGATTTTAAAAAGGTTTATTAAAAGCCTGAATAGGGTTTTAAATGTCTAATTCAACTAGGTGCTTAGAGAGGCACTGCTGACTATGTTGCTTCCCTAAAACAAGGCTCAATTACAGTCTTTTAAATATTTTATTCCAGGCCCATAAAGAGAGGGGATATTCTGCCCCCAGAAAAAGGGCGAGAGGTTGCAAAGGAACTTGGCATACCATACTATGAAACAAGTGTATTTGACCAATTCGGAATCAAGGATGTGTTTGACAATGCAATACGAGCCGCGCTGATTTCTCGCCGCCACCTGCAGTTCTGGAAATCTCACTTAAAGAAAGTCCAGAAACCTTTGCTTCAGGCCCCTTTCCTACCTCCAAAAGCCCCTCCACCGGTCATCAAGATTCCAGAGTGTCCTTCCACGGGGATGAATGAAGCTGCCTGTTTACTGGACAGTCCCCTGTGTGCGGATGTCCTGTTCATCCTGCAGGACCAGGAGCACATCTTTGCACATCGGATTTACCTCGCTACCTCTTCTTCCAAATTCTACGATCTTTTTTTAATGGAATGTGAAGAATTCCCCAATTGGGGTGAAGGAGTGTGTGAGAAAGAGAAGCAGAGCACGGATTTCCAGGGGCGGACTTTGAGTCCTGACCTAGATGGGGAGAGGGAGGAAGGCCTGCCTCGGACACCCCAGGCTGATCAAGGGAAGTCGTCACAGAAATTCCTGCTGGAGGCCACGGGGCCGGAAGCTGAGGGCTCAACTCCCGAGACACAGACTTTGGCCGGCTGGAGTAAGGGGTTCATTGACATGCACAAGGAGATGCAAGTCAATCCCATTTCAAAGCGAGTGGGCCCCGTGACGGTGGTCAGAATGGACTCCTCCGTCCAGCCAGGCCCTTTCCGCACCCTGCTCCAGTTTCTTTATACAGGGCAACTGGATGAAAAGGAAAAGGATTTGGTCGGCCTGGCTCAGATCGCAGAGGTCCTAGAGATGTTTGATTTGAGGATGATGGTGGAAAACATCATGAACAAGGAAGCTTTCATGAACCAAGAGATTACAAAAGCTTTCCACGTCAGGAAAGCCAATCGGATAAAAGAGTGTCTCAGCAAGGGGACCTTCTCAGGTGAGCCGGTCACCATCTGTTTCCATCCCCTGCTCGGTTGCACATCACACCCCCTGGCCCTGCTCTGCTGCAGTTTCCTGATATTTGCACTCTCGTGCTGCCTGCAGCACCCTCACACAGTTGCTTAAGCACTCTGGTGGCCTGCATCCAATCTGGGTTATGATCCATTCTTACACAACTCCTGCTGTCTGACGCAGTACTTTTGTTGTGAAATTATCCTGTGTATGTGAACAAGGGTGTATTTCATTGTAAAAAGTTGACTCCCTGGCTTCTATACCAATGGATACTTACATTTTTATCTTTATCTTTAATAATCACTGCTCTGTATGGTGCTACGCATTTAGAAGTGGTTACTGAATCTGTTGACTAATTTTAAAACTTATGAGCAACGTTTGCTCCAAACATTGGCCATTGTGGTATAGAAGCAGTATTGGAAGTTAATGAAAAGAATGTCACAAGTGCAGGCAGCTGGCACAGAGGTGACTAGCACTGCTTGGGATGCCCTCGTCCCATATCGAAGAGCGTGGGTTAGAGTCCGAGCTCCACTTTCATTCCCAGCTACCTGCTAATGTGCACCCTGGGAGGCAGTAGTGATGACTCAAGTAGTTAAGTTCCTGCCACCCATGTGGGAGACCTGGATTGAGTTCTGGGCTCCTTGCTTCAGAACTCTTGTAGTCATTTGGGGAGTGAACCACCCAATGGAAGATCTCTCTCTCCCTCTCTCCCACCCCATGTATATGTGTGTGTTTCTTTCTCTCTCTGCTTTTCAAATAAAATGAAAATAAAAATATTTAAACAGAAGTTGCTACAGATTGTTAGAAAATTAAGTTATGGATCATTAGACAAATTTGTCATGAACTGAATGGTGATATTAGAAAATTATTTCTAATTTTTTTGGTCGCAATATTGGCATGGTTATTTAGGAGAATGTTCTTTTTTGAAAATTCCTGATAAAGTAGTTAGGAGTGACATGTCATATTACCTATTAGAAAAAGTCTACCCACATATATGAAGTTATATATAAATACACATACAGCTGTAGCACATGTGGCAAAATGTTAACAGTGGATAAATGAGTGATTACTATTCTTTCCACTGTTCTATGTTTGGAATTTTTCATAATAAGAAGTGGACAAAAATATTCCTCTCCTTTTTGTTACTTCCTGGTTCAGGGAATTTGTGTTGTCACTTCTCCTTTTTGTTATTTCCTGGTTCAGAGACTTTGTGTACGTTTAAACACTTGCTCTTCAGTGTGGGAATCAGGTGTGGGAGAGATAGGGGTTGACATAAAACCAGTAAATAAAGACAGAAGAGAGAGTAAGGGACCTGCAGGGTAAAAGGCGGAGCAGAAGCCTTGAGTAAACTCTCTGTGAAGCTGGCTCACTGTTGCGTTCCCTCAATCCTTTGGCAGATGTGACCTTTAAGTTGGATGATGGTGCCATCAGTGCCCACAAGCCACTGCTGATCTGTAGCTGCGAGTGGATGGCAGCCATGTTTGGGGGGTCATTTGTGGAAAGTGCCAACAGTGAGGTAAGGTGCCTTCTACACAGCCTTGTGGTAGCTCCATCAGCGTGTGAGGGTGCATGTTTAATTAGCAAGATGATTTAAGTTCTTCAACTTCCCATGAAATATGCCCTGGACAGTGCTCGAATGTGTGGCTGCCCTTTTTTCATTCTGCAACAATGAGGAGCTGTTGATTGTTGGTCATTTGTTGTGTGTGATGAACACCTGGGTGCTTTACATGCTCTACATACTTTCATCCTCACAGCTTTCCTCACCCATAGAGACATGAACAGCTAGCTATCCTTTTTTTTTTAAATCACCAAGCAAGGTACTATCAAAATCCAGTACGAGAGGGACAGAGCCTATCTTCCAAGGACTCAGAAAAGTGAGAGTTCTTCATTCACTGAAGTCACTCTTACCCAGACAGGACCTTAAGAAGCCACACTGTTGTGCCTTGTTCTGCCCTGCAAGATGAGGCATGCACCAAATCACCCTAGAGGTCCCCAACAGCACAGCACTCCCTAAGCCTCGGCCCTGACTTCACCAATGGTGAGCAGAGAGGAGGGTTTGTTACTTGTAGGGAAACAGTAATGGAACAAACATCCCTCTCTAAGTACATAGGTCTAGTAGAAACTCCTTGGTTGGGTCTGGCACTTCGGTGTAGAAGATTAACCTCTGCCTGCAGTGCCGACATTCCATACAAGTGCCAGTTCGAGTCCTGGCTGCTCCATTTCTGATCTAGCTCTCTGGTAGTGCACATGGGAAAGCAGTAGAAGATGGCCCAAGTCTGTGGGGCCCCTGCACCCACATGGGAGACCCTGAAGAGGCTCCTGGCTCCTTGGCTTTGGTCTGGCCCAGCCCTAGCTGTTGTGGCCATCTGGGGAATGAACCAGTGGATTGAGGGTCTCTCCTCTCTGAAACTTTGACTTTCAAATAAATAAATAAATCTTAAAAAAAAAAAAAAAAAGGAAAAGAAACACCTAGGTCACTTGTTATCCAATGACCTTATCCTAAATAGGAGATATTCTTAGAACACAGCAAGCAGTGTCTTAGAGACAATATGTCTTTATCTTTTTTTACAGACTCTATTGGGAAAGGGGGAAAAGTCCCATTCAAACTTTTTTAACTTTAGAAATGAGCAAGCATTTTTGTTTAGTTTTGCCAAGTATTTTTTAATGTCTTTTTGCAAAAAAAAATTGGAAACACCCATCAAGTTTATTGTCCTAAGAGGTTTGTTTTGCTTATCTCAGCATCTCTTCGAACTCTTGAAAGAAATACAGAAAACAATAGCTAAATTTTCAAAAGGGGTACTCACAAGAGATCTGAGCACTCCCTTTGTGACCCAGGAGACTGCATTTGCATCCACAAGTAGGGAAACAGAATCCTAGAATCACAAGCCTGGGATAGCCAGGGCTGAGAAGGTCAGTAGGCCACCCTCCTGCTTCCAGGACAGATTGCAGCTGCTCCTAAGCCAACCCCAGCAAAGGGCTGTCTTCTGCTTGGAGAAAAGGCATTAGAATTCTCCCAATGAGCTGTACTGGTGTCTACTGACATTTATAAATCAGGAGGTTCTCACCTGTAACTAAAACTCTCCTGTATTTAGTCAAAGGTGCTTTGGAGCATGGCTTCCAGGCTGCTACTGGTGAGACTGCACAACTAAGAGGCTGGGAGGCTGAAATCATAAATCCTCCACTCAGGCTGGTGGCCTTGGAAAAGTGACTTAATCTTTCTGAGCTCCAGCCTCCTTATCTGGAAAACACAAAAATGTGGTTGTAAGGTGTAAGAATCAGTACTTGCAAAGCACTTCATAAGCATTAACTTAACGGCAGCTGCCACTAGTCTTATTTTGATGGGGGTAGTGGTGAAGGTATTCTCTCCTCACTTCCAAGAAAAATGTAGCAAAGCCGCTGATCAGTCAAACCTCATCCCATTGGCATTTTACCCACTTCAGTAATCTCCAGAGATAGAGAGCTGGAAAGTATGCTCCCCTTGTTTTCCAACTCATTGAAATGCATGCTGATTCTGCAGCAGAGGGACCAGCTGTTAACAGAGCAGAGAGAAGTTGATCAAGGTCAGGAACCCAAGCACAAAGGGACACTGTCAGTGCTGACCTCATGAGTGCTAATCCTCTTTATCCCTTCACAGAATGGACTGTAATCGTCTCCAGCTTAAAATATGCAGTATAGGTGACCAAAACAAAAACTTGGTGGCAAGTGCCCATATATAAGGTTAACAGCCTCCTGGGGGTGGCCAACTCTTCAGCACACCCCCCTGGAAAGACTGAGACACTCACCTCTTAGAACTCTAGCCAAGGCTAATCTGTATGTATAGATTCAAACCAGATCTATTGACAAAGACCACAGAACCAAGCAACCAAATCCCTTCTGCTGATCTATTAAGAAGGCACTAAGCTGTTGACAGGTTCACCCTTTCCTGGCCCTTCTCCTTATTTCCAGTATTGACCATAATCCTGTAGTGATGAACTCTAACCCCATTTCTTCCTCTATAAAATAAGGCTAGCAAGAGAGCTTTCAGCGAAGGGCAAGCCAGGTATGAGAGTAGCTATGAATTTGGCATCTAGAATGTGGAAATGTCCCATAAGAGTTAGTGGCTATTATCCCGTTTCTTGTTAAGTTCTTGCCAGGGAGGGTTAAAGATCTTTGTCCCCTGAAGCCCTAAGTTAAAAATTTCCCATTCCCTTTCATACAAAGAAATACAACAGTGGTGATTATAGGCATAGGGAAGAGGTCTCAGTTAAACACTCAATAAATGCTCCATGATTGACTTAGGTCCATTTGGATTTGGCCTTTCTAAGCCGTCTTTTAACTCTCTATTGTCTTGGAAAAATCTGAAAATCTGACTTTCCTGTGAAATGCTGCCTGTTTTTGTTTTTGGCACTTAATTCACATTCATATCCAGAAAAGAATAAAATATGCCTATTGATGTTATTTTAAATTTTTGTCATTTAATATTCAAGAAGACACTGTATTTTACTTCTATTTTTTCTCATTACTTTTAATGTAGCAGTAAGCATAATTCTCTCCCCAGAGGTACTCAGCAAGTGGTTCATTAAAAATGCATGCCCGGGTTGTAGTAAGCAATGCTCTGGATCTAGAATACTTTCTCATCCTCTATGAGACTGTCTCTAATTATAAACCTAATAGTCTGAGCTAATCTTTGCAATTAAAATTTTAAACCAACTAAACTGGAATATGGGACATTGTTTAGGATAAGCATCATATTTTCTCTCACGACTCGTCATTTTTTAAAGCTACAAAATTTTAAAGATGCAAATTTTTTGTTCTCTTTCTTTGTCTATGTTATTTTTTAAAGTGTTAGAAAAAGAACTCTCCTTTGTTTCACAGTTAATTATAAATGTTGATATCACAGAAACAGGATTCTTTTTAAAAATTGGCCACAGGAGAAAAAAAAAATGTGTGTTCTGAAAGTGTTTTTAGTTTACTCTCATTTGATGGTTACTTCTAAGGGCCCCTAACATCATTTGCCAAAAAGAACCATTACTTCAAAAAAATGTTAATGTCATATTAAACAAAAAGGAAACAGCAGGTCACGGGTGATTACAAACATTGGAACACTCCAGGGACATTGAGAGTATTGGGGAAGGCCACTCACTAGAATCTACCATCTCCGGCTGCCAGAAATAACTTCATTTTACTTAGGATGTCTATTTGGCCATTTGTATTTCTAACAAGCATCTTTTCTTGAAACAATGATTTAGAACATACTGTTGCCCCAAAGAAATGCAAAGGCAATATGAATATGCATGAAACCTAGAATCCCCAGTGAAGAAAATAAACCTTTAGATAGCATCTGTTCCAAATTCTTCCTGTATAAGAGATGAGGACACAGCGGGTCATAGAATGTGAGTGGTCTATCCCCAGCCCCTGCCCCAAACCCAGGGCAGGGTTTGGACAGTGGCCAGCCTCTCCATCTCTCAGAGAGGAGGTATTCACAGGACTTCTTAGATAGTTTAACAATTATTTACATCTTCTAACACTTTCTAAAAATGTGGATATTTTCCCATATCAAAATGGTTCCAATTTTATTGTTTTACAACTTAATTAACCTTTGGTTATCTAGAAAATTACACCAAAGCGGACATCACTCCAGAGAAATAAAATTTTTCCAAATGTTCACATACACAGAAATTAGTTTGAGTATCTATAAATAAATTCATATTCTATACAAGATACATGCATGTGCATATAAGTACAAATGTATATAAGCATACACACACACAACTAGAACTGGTGTTGGAGTCACTTGAATAGCAATTAACAAGCTGGCCTTGTAACACAGTTGGTTAAGCTACCACCTGTGATGCCTGTTTCCCATGTGTGTGCTGGTTCAAGTCCTGGCTGTTGCACTTTCCATCTAACTCCCTGCTAACGAACCTGGGAAAGCAGCACAATGGCCCAAGAACTTGGACCCCTGCCACCCATGTGGAAGACAAGGATGGAGTTCCAGGCTCCTGGTTTCAGGATCTCTGTAACTCTGCCTCTTAAGTAAATAATAAATCTAAAAAAAAAAAAAAAAAACCATATGTATAGAGATAGAGCTGGTTGAAGGGAGGAACAATCCAACATCCGTAGATTGTAGATTGCAGATGATTCAGCACATTCAGCAGCCTGTTCATTTTAAAATAATATCAGTAATAGTGTCTGCAAATCAGAGTCTGTCTGCTGTAGAGGCTGTGCTAGAAATGTGAAAGGCTCAGACTTGACAAATCATTGATGCTAATTGCCCAGGCAGTTTATTTGTGGAATCATAATTGGTGGAGGTAGAGTGGTAAGTGTCTTAATATTTCTGGGAATTTTTCTGAGCCTTCCCTTTGATACAAGAAGGGATGGCTCTGCCTATCTGAAATAGTGTCCCATCTCTGAAGTGGCTGGGGGCTACCCAGGAGAATACTGTGGAAGGTTGCTATAGCTTAAACAATTCCGGAACCACATCACCAGAAGGCACAGGCCATGAGTCCCTTGTAGAGAATCGAGGAGATATATGGAGAGAGAAAAGTGTAATCATATATTATATATGAGAGTGTTTCATAACGCTCATGGCAGAAATTTGCACAGCAGTTAAATCAGAGCTTGGGAAGCCCGTGTCCCAGAGTAGCTGGTTCAAGTCTGGGCTATTTTGCTTCCTATTCAGCTTCCCACTACTGTGCACCCTGGTGATGCTCACGTGTGAGGACCCCTGCCGCCCATGTGAGAGACCTGGGAGGAGTTCTGGCCTCCTGGCTTCAGCCTGGTCCAGCCCTGACTGTTTATTATAGGCACTTGGGGAGTGAACAAGTGAATGGAAAAATCAATCAATAAATCTCTCTCTCTGTCTCTGTGTCTCTTTGCCTTTCAAAGAAATAAAAAATAATGAATAAAAATTAAAACATAACTTTATGTGGGTTCAAAGATGTTTTAAATCCTTCCATTCTCATGGTCTTCAAGAAGTTCATGTAAAACGCATATTGTGAAGAAAATCATGTGTGGAATTCAAAATTTGTGCACCAAAATAAACTAACCTTTAAATTCTGTTTTCCATGAACTTTTTGAAGAACCTTGCACAATATACAGTTGTATACCTTTAAATGCTATGTCAACATTTATTAAGTATCAGAATTAAGAAGTTTATAACTTCATCCTTTTGAGTTAGAAGTCTAATACTTATTCATGCAATGTGGAGCCTTATACTATAACCTAAAGTTTTACTTCCTTGTCATTAAAGATTTCCAATATTACATAGCAATTCTGAACATACACTTTAGAATTATACTCTCTGCACTTAAGCCTACTTTTTAAGACTATGTACTAGCCCTGCAACCTTGCACACAATATCTATCCTCACTGAACCTCAATTTCTTTGCAGAATTGCAAAGATAATAGTCTTTTCCTCATAGGGCAAATATAAGGTTTAAATTATATGAATGCATGTAGAAAGTTTAACACAGGGGGCCAGCACTGTGGTGTAGCAGTGCCGGCAACCTATATGAGCACCTGTTCAAGCCCCAGTGGTTCCATGTCTGATCCAGCTCCCTGCTAATGCACCTAGGAAAGCAGTGGAAGATGGTCCAGGTCTTTGGGCCCCTGCACCCACGTGGGAGACCCGGAAGAAACTCCTGGCTCCTGGCTTCATATCGGCCTGGCTCTAGCCTTTGCTGCCGTGTGAATCAGTGGATGAAAGATCTTTCTTGTCTCTGCCTCTCTGTAACTCTGCCTTTCAAACAAATAAATCTTAAAGAAAGCTTAGCATAGGAGGCTTTGAATGGAGGTTAATTTCTGTAATCATCAACATTACAAAAGTAAACCTAGTGATACCTATACTACTTCAGAGTTTGTCTTGTAGGGTTAGAGACCCAGCTGCAAAGTATGCAACCCCACAGATCCAAGCCCACCCGTCTGGAATGGACCACACAGGCAGTCTCTGGCTCTCTAGCAAACTCTAGCCTGCATTTATATGAGGAACTGCCAGTACTCAAGAGGGAAACTGGAAGAGTCCTATAGGGGAAAGTTCACCATGCCCAGCTAACTACTTCCCCAAATGGCCCATGCAAGGATTCCTTTGGGTTCTCTGAATCTCTTGTTAACTGATAAAGTTCCAGTAGTTCTGAATCCATGTGGTTGTAGGAAGAAAACAGTAAGCTGCATCTATGGTGCTAGCATATACTGATGTTGGAATCTAGCCAGTCACTGTGGCAACCAAGGTGTTGCTCAGCCTCTGTTTTGACATCTTAGAGAGCTGGGCTCTATCATGTGTCGGCAACAGTGTGGTTTGCAGCTCTTTCCAACACCTGTCATGTTGCTAGGAGATTTCTTTCCCCACAATAGAGCATTATCAGGTACTTGGCAAGGAGGTTACATAATGTCATCCTACATTTACAACCCATTTGTCTGATTTATAAGTCCAAATAGCCATTTAAAAATTCCAAATCAGGCTTTGTCAGGCAGCTCTACTCTTTTGCCATCTACAAATCAAGCTGTTATGTTTAAAGCCATAAATACTGAATGACTTCCATGCACGGCCTCAAAGCAGGTATCCAAGAGTCACAGTATCAAGTCACACAGTTGAGATATTATAAGCACCATCGCTTGAAAATGTCCCCACTCCCTGCTTTCTTCAGAATTTAGCTTTTCATCTAACTTTTCAGGTATATCTCCCGAACATAAACAAGATGTCAATGCAAGCAGTATTGGATTATCTCTATACCAAGCAGTTGTCACCTAACTTGGACCTGGACCCACTGGAATTAATTGCTTTGGCAAACAGATTTTGCCTGCCACACTTGGTTGCACTTGCAGGTAAGGCTTGTGACTTGGGGCCATGCTGTGTCCTTAACATTTATCAAAGTCGCATTTAGACAGAAATCAGGTTTCCAGGGAATAAAACAATTTTTAAGATCCAAAATAGGACTGTCTTATGCAGGCTGGTATGAATGGATCAAATACATCAGACAGTACAATTCAATTCAACCAATATTTCTTAAGTACCTACCTTGTACTTGGCCCTATTAGGTGATGCAAGTATAAAAATGAGTGATGCAAACCCCTGCCACAAGGCACACACTGTATACACGCTGAACCATTTGTGGGCCACTGAATTTGAAATACTGTTCTGTGAACATCATCTCCATAAGGTGTGCACAATCTTTAAGAAAGATGCAGTTGGAAGCAAGCACTTGGCCTAGCAGGTAAAATGCAGGCTAAGATGCCCACATCCCATAGCAGAGTATCTGGGTTCAATTCCTGACTCTGGCTTGCTGTTAATACAGACCCTGGGAGCCAGTAATTAGATTCCTGCCACCCACATGGGAAACCTGAATTGAGTACACAGCTCTCATCCCTAGACACTGAGGGCACTGGGGGAGTGAAATGGCAGATAGATTTATTTTGCATTCTCTCTCTCTCTCTCCCTAATTTTTTTTTAAAAACAGAAAGAGTCAATAGATGCAGTGGTTAAAAATGCAGACTACAGAGCCACATTGCCTGGATTCAAATCCTGGCTGCACCATTTACTCATTGGGTAACTTTGTTCCTTACCTACCCTTAGCTCTGGGGCTTAGCTTTCTCTCTCATTAAAAGAGTTAGTATTAGTCTACCACGGAGTTGTTAATGAAGATTAAATGAGTTAAAATATACAAAGTCCTTAGAGCAGTGTCTGGCACATGGTAAGCATTATGTAAGTAGTTTTCTCAAAACTATTTTAGAAAATGTTCTGACATTGTCAAATTCACTCTGAGAGAAACAGAAAAGCGAGACTTGGCTTAACTTCACAAAATTTTATCTATCATTTCTAGATTTGCTCAGTTGGTAAACTGAAGCAAATCTATATAAAATATATACATTTAAATACCTTTTTTTAGAATTGAATTCTTTAGCTTCATTCACCAGACATGTCTATTGGCAATCTGAGTGTTCATCACTATATGTAGGTGATTCCTGTTAACCATGAAAGCAGATAGAGTGCCGGCCTTATTCTCTGGCTTTTCCTCCTGCACGTCAAAAAGTACCTGAGTATGTTGGGTTCTCCATAAATTTGTTGAATAATTGAATATTGGAAAGTGAACAAATGAGCAAACCAACCAATCTTACTTGGACTTGACATTCGGACAATGTCTTTAGATAAAAGATTAATTTCTCTGTCCTCCCAGTTTCTACTGCATGCAGCCACCTAGAGATCAAAGTCTTCCCTTTATCTTATCCATTCACCTACCACCCTACCAGTTGGACAGAAAGAATTGAAGCGTCAGTGTTAGAGGTTTTCAAAAACTCTTGTACATCAATATTCCTGAAGTCATAGATCCAAATGAGTAATGCTACTTTTTAAATATTACTCTTGGAGGCTGCAGTAGCCAGTTCCTTTTTTCAGAAATAGGAGTTTCAATCCATTTAACTAACCATGAGTTTTATAAGTATTTGTCCTTGGTGGGCAATTTTTATTATTTGAAGTGGTCAAAAATCATTTTGGAGTCAAATATGTCTAACAAAATTTGTGATCTCTCTAGGAATATGCCATTTTGCTAAAATATTATTATCAACATGAAAGCATGGTCTTGATTTCTCCATGAAAGTTTTTTTTAAATGACTCCAGACCCCTGTGTATATATAGTTGTGTTATTAAATGCTGTTATTATTGGTACAATTATTAATATGTGGCTTCCCAGGATGACTCCTTTAATCATTTCTAGTATTTGATGTATACTGACTGATATACAGTGTTTATAGAATATGATATTTAAAAGTCAGTTTCTGGGGTGAAACTGCTTTGCATGCCAGTGTTAAATGAATATCATGAAATGTTGCTGTTACTTAAAATGAAAAGGCCTGAGTGACTTCTCTGGGAGATGTGGTTTCAACTACTCCTATATTTATCAGTCTAGCTTAGGAGGTTACAACTTTAGAGACCCTATTGACCAGATTAGGCATATCAACTAACAACTCTACAGAGCCAGAGCAAAACCTAAGCATGACTTAGACAATATATGCTTGATTAGAAGAACAACTAAAAATGTAGAGATGATATCAGCATCAAAGAGGTAGAGAGGCCAAGCCAGTACTATTCCCACACATGTCAACACAAAACAGAAACAAGATGTCACTCAGCCCCAGAGCCACAGGAAGCCTGGGACACCAGCTCCCAAGAAGAAATGGCTCTCCCAACTGGATTCTTGTGACTTTTGGCTGAAGGTCCCTGCATTTGTTAGAATCTAGGAGGTTGAACCTTGCATCATCCATCTGTAGATGTTGTGACAGATGTGTGTATTCACATTTTAATTCCCAAAATAGACATATTCCTCTGTTACTCAGGCTCTCCACTGTGAGAGGGGATTGTGAGTTTGCAAACAGTTGTGTAAACTGTGACATAGTTGAGGGTTCTACAATGGTGTGTGTTACTAGAGCCAGGGGTGTGCAGTGGAAGTTTCTGCAGTTCTACATCTATCTGCATTGTCAACTTCAGTAGCCATACATGGGTATTGAATACTTGATGTGGCTAATGTGACCAAAGAACCTTTAATTTAATTAATTTAAGATGAATTTATTATGTATGCCTGATGGATATCCTCTTCCTAGATAAGCCAGTACAGGTCTGAAGGACTCTGCCTATATTAAATGTGTGAACAAGGGGCCGGCGCCGTGGCTGACTTAGTTAATCCTCTGCCTGCGGCACTGGCATCCCATCTAGTCCCGGTTGCTCCTCTTCCAGTCCAGCTCTCTGCTGTGGCCCGGGAGGGCAGTGGAGGATGGCCCAAGTGCTTGGGCCCTGCACCCGCATGGGAGACCAGAGGGAAGCACCTTGCTCTTGGCTTCGGATCGGCGCAGCGCCGGCCATAACAGCCATTTGGGGAGTGAACCAGTGGAAGGAAGACCTTTCTCTCTGTCTCTCTCACTGTCTATAACTCTACCTGTCAAATAAATTTAAAAAAAAAAAATGTGTGAACAAGAGGCCCTAGAGAGGTTGGTGCAATGGCGAATGACCAGAAATTTGTGTACTAGAAGGCTATGCCTCAGATTAGACCCTGGATTCAATTCAAACAGCTGCCCAGAGTTGTGTCTCATATTCTGTCTCTCTTCTGAAGTGGAGAGCAATGAGCCCCCCAATCTGGCAAGAAGTCTAATTTGCAGGGCCCCATTTGACAGTATCCTGCCTCCTGTCTCCCCCAGAGCAGCACGCAGTCCAGGAGCTGACCAAGGCCGCCATGAGTGGCGTGGGCATTGACGGGGAAGTGCTTTCTTATTTGGAATTGGCCCAGGTTTGTATCAGTTTGCTTTTCACCTTTTAAGTGTGTTCAACCAGTTTATTTAATGCTGATGAAACATTCCACTGTTGCATCTGTCTAAATAAAGATGTCACCACTGAGTCACAGAGGCCCCTGTGCACACGGAGAAGATCTGAGAGTTTCATGTTTCAGGCACCACTCAGCCTGCTGGGCTTCGTTTGAAAAAACAACAAGGACCCCACCGCCACACCAGTCCCATTGTCCCCTAAGGCTGTCTTCACATGTGGGAGAACCACTTGGGCATCACGAGAGAAGGTCTCCCCTCCTTTGAACTCTGGGACATGTATTTGGCCAAGAACAGTTTCCAGAATTCCGTGAGGCCCTACAGTGCCCACTGGGAATGAACATCTCACTGCAGCTCTCCTGGAGTTTCCTGAAAGGAGTTCTTGGTAATATCAGTATTGTAACTCCAGAATCCCAAGCCACACTTACACTCTTCTGCTAGAGAAGAGCGAAGTCTCAAGGTCAGCTCTGTCACTAACTTCCCCATGCATAAGTGGGGATGGTAGTTCACACCCTACTGACCTCACAGAGTATTTGGAGAATCAATTGGGAGAGAATGTCCAGGAGAGAGCACTGAGGAGCGGAAGCCCTTTCAGAAGGCAGAATTATCCAGTCCCCACAGAGACCGATTAACAATCTCTGAGGGTAGAATAGATTCCTCTGTCTTTTCTTCAGCCTATCTGGTTTGGCTTTCTTTGTTCCTGTCAGACATCTGAAGTAGATATTTCTCTATCAAGGGAGAAGAGGTGGTGTCAGTAAGGAGGAAGGGGGTGGGGACATTGTATGGCAGGTGCAACGCAGGTTTAAATGATGGCTCGGGTTCAAGAGGACAGAAGGTAGAATAAGACTTCACAGAAGCTCATTCACACTGACTTAGCATCCTACAAATATTTGTGATCTTCCCCCCACCAAGTACCGGGCACCCCCTAAATCTAGGATGTGCATACAGATAGACTACATTCTTAGTCCTTGGAGCACTCACAGGCAAGTGAAAAAAACAGACATAAACACAAATTATTAAAATCCAATGTGAAAATCAACCTAACAGAACTTTCAGTAAAAAGTAAGCACAAACATCTGGTACAGTAGAATCTGCAAACCCCTATCAAAACTGTCATCCACACCTGGAAGTTGGGGTCTTTAGAAAACAAGCCTAAGGGACAGTTTATGACCTGAACTCTCTCCAGTTAGTCTTCCTCTTAGAGAAAAGTGAAATGACCCAGAATTGCATATACAACCGGTTCACTTGAAGTCATGATTTTCAGTTGTGTCTGTCAACTCTTTTCTCACTCTGCCCCACACCCCCATCACACACCACTCAAGGAAGTGACATGATTACTGCAAAGCCCTGGTGGGCCTTGGCAGGGGGAGTTTAGGATGGAGTCTCCATGTTTTAGCTCATTGGTTAGACCTTAACATAGGGGAGTGCAGGTAAGTACTTAACAATTAGCCTGGGGACAAGTGGGCCTCTGGCTTCTTGCATTTTCCAATTTCTAAAGACTCCCACCATGGCCAGCTTAATAGTCATTGAGGTCTAAGTGAGGAAAAAATAGGCTTCTCTTTGGAGCAGAAGCAAGCCAACCCAGCGTACCCACTGCCCAGTCTTCTTTTCAGAGAGAACTCTAACATCATGGGAAGTGAGAGGCCCTGGCTCGATATGCACCTGTTGTTTGAGGTTGTAAAGGCTTTGCCTTTCTATGGGTCTCCACAGTAGAGATCCAAGTTCACGAGAGAACTACCCTGTTGGCTGCAGGGTCTTGTCAAAGGAACATCAAGAGCAGCAGACGATGGAATGGATGTTTGAGGAGGGTGTTGTCAGAAAGTTTAGGAAGCAGGGGAGTCCTAGACATAGGGACAGAATGGGGGTGGGCTGTCGATTTTTGAGCATCCAGTCTTTTTCACTCAGTTACCTCAGCTGCCACTTCTCTGAGCACCTGCTCAGGAAGGGCAAAGGATCCCTCCTACCCTGCTCCTAGCACCTGCTCTTCTTATATAACCAAAGGACAGGTATAGGACAGTCACACATTCCATAGTCTCCTCTTTCAGATCTTTGGCCCCAGCCAGCTGAGTTCTGACATGTGACACGGAGTATTCCATTGCCAAAGCTTCCTCAAACAGAGATGACTTTGCTGCTTTCTGCTGTTGGCTGCTACCCTCCAGAGGCCACAGTCACTTATCACTGGAGGGCCAGGTGGCAGGGGACGGTGGGAGGGCAAGGCACACTCTGAACTCCTAATCGGACACAGTGATTATTTTTGGCACACCTGTAACAGGGGGTGAGGAAGGGGTGTGCCAATACAACACTGCCTGGAACTGGAGCCATGGCCAAAGTCAAAACGCCAAGGTCAAAATGAAAGGTTTAATGAACTAGTTCCAGGGGCCCTTTATTTCTTGTCACCTGTACAATGGCTTCCAATTTCACTTTAACCCCACTTTAGAAAGTAAAATCTGACCCCCTTTTGGTCACGTTTCTGCAGTTTCACAACGCCCACCAATTGGCCGCTTGGTGTTTGCACCACATCTGCACCAACTACAACAGCGTTTGTTCCAAGTTCCGCAAGGAAATCAAATCAAAATCTGCAGGTGAGAGCGTGTGGGTTCCCAGTCATCCACTTCTCCTCACCTCTGCCTGAACCGTTTCCTCTCTGTGCCCCCGGAAGGGAACAAGATCATGCTTGTAGCCCATAGAGAATTCCTCATGGCTGGCTGATGTGCACATGTTTAAATGATATGACACAAGAAATTATGGCTTGGGGGGTTCTCTTTGGAGCACTTCATAGTTGGAGGAGGATGTCGGGAGGCTGGAGTTCAGGGCCTGTTGCATAGCTTGCTGAGGTTGGTGGCTCCCCCAGTACTTAAGAGAAAGGAGAAACCTTAAAGTCAAGCAGTCTGGGTCCTGGTTCTCTGCCCAGCCGTGAGACTACAGGCAAGAGATTCTACATCCCAAAGCTTGCCTGTCACCATCTGTAAATGGTGACAATGGTGACAACTGATCATAGTCCCTGCCACAGCAGTGTAGGCAGGGTCTGGGAGGGGCAGGGGGTGGGGAGAGTGTGGTGAGAATATATGAGAAGCATTCAGCATGAGGCCTAGCGCAGGGAAACAGTGAGTGAACAGCAGGTGTTATCATCAGCCTCTTTGCCTCACCAGACAACCAAGAATACTTTGAGCGGCACCGCTGGCCCCCTGTGTGGTACCTGAAGGAAGAGGACCACTACCAGCGCGTGAAAAGGGAACGCGAGAAGGAAGATATTGCACTCAATAAACATCACTCAAGACGAAAGTGGTGCTTCTGGAATTCATCTCCAGCAGTAGCCTGAAGAGGACAAGGACAGAGAAATCAGACATCTGATACACCACTTTTTAAGGCACTACTGTAAAATTAGTCTTCTTAGCGATACGACGTAGTTCAGGTTTCAGGCACTGACCTGCCTCCACTTCTGTGCATTTATCTTTGTTAGGATCAAAGCACAAGCTCACCACCAATGAGCCTGGACAAAAAGGGAAGCTGACTCTCACTGCATTCCTTAAACTGATGTGTATATTTTTTTGTTAGGAGGCTTAATAAACTTTAGTCCGTTATTTTGTTTCTTTTTATACAAAGACAAAAAAATCCAGCTTTCATGTTTCAGATTCCAAATTGGAAAATATTTTTATATGGTCTCTTGTATTTTGTTGAAATGAAAATACTGTGTATTACTTTATTTTACAGGCCACAAACTGACCATGAAGTCATCCTGTGACCCTCTTTGGCCACATGACTAGAGGCCACATAATTAGAGGGTGGGTTTTTTTGTTGTTGTGAAGTAAAGGGTTGGACTGAATTTCCCCCAAAGTGCAAGTTGGAGAGTGTTTAATCTTTTTTCTGCTGAATTACATTGGTATAATTACCAACTCAACTCCAAGAATGTGTATTTACAATATTTGCTGTGTAAGTGCTAGTAATTATATGGTTATATGTGCCATGTAAAATATAGTGATATCAAAAAATCTGTTGTTTCAAATGTTTAGATTCCAGAGGATAATCCTTATAATCATTAGAAGGGCTTATTCAATCCCAGCACTATCCAGGGCAAACTCACTGGTGGACCCGAATACGTAAGATACCATTAGAGCACTGGGGTTTGGATCACTGCATTAGGGTTTTTGTCTCTCAGTGTTCCTTCATCTTGCCATGCTTCTGCATGCAGAGTCTCCATTGACTTGAAATTGAGATGGGCAAAGGAAGAAGTCCCCAGACTCCTTCCAGCCAGCTACAGGCTTGGCACATCTCACCATCGGAAACAGGCTTCCTCAGGTCTCTCACCTGTGGCCAACTTCACTTTTTAAGACACAGATTTTTAACTCTTCCCAGGGAAAACTCATGTCACTGCAGAAGTAGGCTAAGGCAAACCACCCACTCCTGCTGAAATTCAGTAGGGCCTATGAAAGCATAAAGCTGGAGGCTGGGTCCTTGCATTCTCCAACCCAGAAAGGAATCTAATTCCAAGAGTCTAGGAAATGGTGCTATTGTGAGTTAGTTCTGAACCTTGTCCTTCTGAGTTTTCAGTGTTAAAATAGAAAGTGTAGAGCAGGGGAGCTTTTGAGAGGCAGTTAGTCATTGCTTCTCTGTCAATTAAGATGTTACCGCGTGCACATAGGGCACATTTTCAGGCCACAGTTCCATACCTGCCATAGGATATTGTGTGGCAGGGCTTGGGGCTCATTTTGTTGGGAGGTCAACTTTCTGATACTAAGAACTGTTGACTCGAGTGCTCTTTTCTAGCTTACTAGCAGTTGGAAATGACACAGTGGAGTTGAACTCCCAGTGTTCACAGCCAAACATTTGAAAATGTAGCCAGGTTACAGATGGGCACGTATTGGTGGTAGTGAAAACACAGGGTATACAAGAACTTGAAGAGGCCCAGACATGCATCTCCCTCCCATGATAGAAGAGAGAGCAGTAGAGTAGGGATAGTTATAAATGCATCCAAATTGATTGTGTTTCAGTTGAGTTGTGTATAGTTAATGGAAGGAGAAAGGAGACAGAATGAGAGGAGAAATGTCAAGACTCAGGAAGAATTGGCATGTATCCTATCATCAAATGGCAGAGATTGTTTTCAATGAGTAGTTGTAGATGAATTTATACAACCAAAGCTCCCATTTGATTGTAATCTTGCCAAAATATAATGGACATATAAATGAACTTGGGGTGTAAGCAATAATATCTACTAGTGTTGTTATCAACTACTATAACCAAGTGGCTGGTTCATTTGGTTGATGCTGATTATGGCCTTTAACCATGGTGGTTTGTTTTGTGTTTTTGTTTTTGTTTTTCACGAAAAACCAATAAAATTGTTATAAAATGCCTCCAGTGTTGTTTTAAGTACTACCATGATAGCATATGTGTGATTTAATAGCTTTTAAAAACTATCAGAACTTTAAAGGGGCTGGGTCCAGGGAGCTTGTGTGCATTCTTGTAACAAAGCAGCGTGAATGTCATCTTTGTTTGTCCTGTTGTCAGCAGACATTCCAATGCCATGATGTAAATGAGGTATCTGGCTCTTTGCTCTTGGCTAAACTCACCGGATATGTTGAGTCACTGGGGGGTGGTGTGTGTGCACAAAGGAAAAGACATCTCTATCTGAATGGAGTCATTGTAATCTGTGTTTAAACAGTTCTGCCAGTAATTAGGTGAAAAAACTGAGTGGTGACTTCTCTATTACTCAAAACAGTTGTCTACTGTAAGAAACAACTGCAGAAAAAAAGATTTCCAACACATTCCCACACCTTTGAAAGGTGGATGTTTCCAATTGCAGCACCTTTAACATAGGCTTACCAGTAAAGTCTTACCTGCAGAAAATGTTGGTCTAAGTTTCTCCTTAGAAAAAACATAGGGATCTCAAAGCCCCTATATTGGAATTTTGGAAATAACAAATCTTGCCAGTTCTAAAAGGAACTCAAATATTTTCATTATGGATAATCAAAAGTAGAAGTCAAAGTTCCTAAGATTTTGTAGTAACATTTGCTTCCATTGTATAAAATCAGTTGTCAAAATTTGATTTTACATCAATGTGACATTGGCTAAGTAAAATGTATTCTGTTAGTGAGAGGGTAGAAAAAGGGGAGAATCCTGAGTTTGAAAACTATTTTGTGAGTACATCATTTCTCAAATGAATTTGTATCTGCCAGATGAAGATTCATGAACATTTTTCTTGAATTGGGTATTTCTTTCTTGAATTGACATCTCTGTATCTACCTATCAGCATCTACACCCACCTGTCTTCTGTTGAATATTTTGTTCTTTGAACTTCCAGTTGGGAGTCAGGTGATGTGTGCAACATGAAAGGTTTGGAAGAAATGAAGGCAGTCATGCAGCAACACTGGTAACATGTAAGAGCAGTGCTTCTGGAGTTGCTATGTTGTGCCTTTTGGCTACATTTGAAAATTCTGCCCTGTGCTGACAGTGCCTCTAAATTGGATATTTTTACTTAAGCCATTTAGATATATCATTTTTACTGGGTTAATGTGCAAATGCTCATTAATTAGATATTTACACAAAATAGTCTGCAAAATATGGGAATAATTTGTGAACGGGTAACTTCTGGGTAGAAATTACCTATGTATTGATAGATATATCCTAGTTGGAGGCTGGTGGACAAGTAGCAATAATTTCCATTTTCTAAAAGAATGTGACTATCACAAAACCATTGTAAAGTAAAAGCTAGAGAGAATATGTTTGTGTTGTATATCTACATGTGTGTAAATAATCAAGGTACAGTGTAACAATGCAAAAACAGAAGGCTAAAAGCAATTTGAAGAAAGAGAGGGGGACAGCCATTGTCCAAAGCTTTGGAAGTTCAGTGAAGCTCTCTGAGCCGTGGATGGACTCTTCTTCCCAGGAATTTAGGAATTGATGAGATTACCATGTATCCTACAACTTAATTTCCTGAGGAAGATTTTGTTCTCTTGAACTTCCAATTAGGAGGCAGGTGATGTGTGCAACATGAAAGGTTTAGACGGAGAGGTGAAGGCATTCATGTGGCAACATTGGTGACATCCTGTAAGAGCAGTGCCTTTGCAGATACAATGTTGGCTGCATTTGAAAATTCTATCCTGTGCTGACAGTGCCTCTAAATTGGATATTTTTACTTAAGCCATTTAGGTGCATAATTTTTACAGGGTTAATGTGCAGACGTGCAGGGTTAATGTGCAATTAAATATTTATAGACTATAGTCTACAAAATTTGGAAATCATTTATGAAAAGGTAACTTTTGGGTGGAAACCAGTCATGCAGTTGCACATCTCCAGACATGAAGAATTATAAACAACAGTAGCAGGCAGGAAGTGAGTTGCCAACGATTCATATTGCTCACTGTTTCCATGGAATAGAAGAACATCCTAGTAACAGACTTCCAGTTGGATATAGATAAAATGAGTGCTGTCTAAATGTGGCCCCATCGAAAGAGTATTCAGACTCTTTGAGTCTGAATATGTTCTCAATCCAAAAACAAGAACACTTAGTGCAGGCAATCAATGAGGAAAGAGCTTGATTCATATCTTTCTGTTTGGATGCCAACCAAAGTCTGGGCATTGTTTTTATTCCCTCCCAATTTGATAATAGAACTATCTTTTCCATTTGATGATTCATTAAATGTTAAGCTTAACTGTCACATGGAAAAATATGCAACTTCTCTAAGCTTTAATCATCCAGAAAAATGGGGAATGGTTCCACTGAGTTTCCAGTGCAGATTAAATGAAATGACTTAGGCAAAGCACAATACCTTGCACATAACAAGTACTCAACATACAGAAGCTAAAAAGAAATAAAGATGAACCTGTGCACTTGGCATGTTGAAGACAAAGGCAAGAAGTCCCAAAAAGAAAGCAATTGTGCATATTCCCAAATATACCCATTGGATCCTCACCTGCCAGTCTCTTCAAATGCCAACTTTTCTGTTCAGTGCTTCATGACAATAAAAAATTTGAAAATAAGAGCTATGGGAAATCTTAAAAGATGAGTTGGAGGGAAAGGCAAGTGGTCAGAGGATGGGAGGGTGGCACTCTCCAAAATGACACTGCCTGGGGCCAGCACTGTGGCACAGTGGGTTAATGCCCTGGCCTGAAGCGCCAGCATCCCATGTGGGTGCCAGTCTTTCGATCAGGGCAGCTCTGGCCGTTGAGGCCAACTGGGGAGTGAACCATTTGATGGAAGACCTCTCTTTCTCTGCCTCTCTTCTCTCTGTGTAACTCTGACTTTCAAACAAATAAATTTTTTTTAAAAAAAAAAATGACACTGCCCTCACTTGACCTCTGTTGACTCCAGTGTGCAGAATATGGTTGGGTAATCTCAAGGCCAAGCTTCACTGAACCTGACTCACTCATAGTCCTTTTTCTTTTATTGTTTCCAATCACATTTCTTGTACTTTTCTTGAAGGTTCCATGCAAAAAGTCTAATTAGCCATACTCCTCAGTGTTTTCTCAGCAACCTTTTCATCTTCAGTCAGTGCCAGACCTTGTCTTTTATTTTCTCCTTCAATAATATCCACTCCCCATGTCATGTCCAGTGAGTGATCATTACACCAATGGTGTTGTGTAGCAAGTTTAATTCTGTTATCTGCTGTTCTGACTGTATACCATTTTGGGAATCTAACCATGTTACAATGAGTACACCCCATCCTTGGCTTCCTTAGCTGCCTAATGTTTTAAAGATGGCATCTACCACATTTGACTCTCCCATACCTAAACAGTCCCTGGCACTATTGTGGACCTCCCTGAACATGCCCTAGGGCCAAGATCTAAAACTGGGTTCCAGGTTCCACCATAGATTTTCAGAATCGGAGCCTCCAGAGGTGATGAGCTTATGTACTAACACTGGACTCAGTGATGAAAATCCTCTAAGAGGATAGGATGTAAAAGAATTCTGGAGTCATAAACAATCTTAAGGGCTCTAACCTAACGCAAAGACTGGATGCACTCTGACCAGCAACAGAAATAAAGTTTAGCTTCCTGCCACCTAAGAGGCCTAAACAGGCTTCCTGGTGGTGAGAAAGTGAGCCATTAGAGTGAGTCATTCAGTTATTCTGCCCTTGGTATTTGTTGACATCTGACCCTCATGTGAGGCAAGAGGCTAAGATGATTTCTCAAGACCCCTGTGAATACTAAGATGACCCCTGGCTTCAATCCCTGGTTTGATTTAATCATTTTGTGATGTATACAACTAGGAAAACATGCGCATAATAAATATTTGCAAGTTTTGCTTGTCAACTATAGCTTAATAAAACCAGGTGTGATTCCCCAGTGAGCTTGCACACACACATTGAAACTCTAATTTTATTTCACCTATGAAATCTAAAAAAATATATAGTATGCCAATACAAATGTTATAGATTGTTCAAACTATCTCAGAAGCCCTGAATAACTTCCCTCTTAAACATAAAACTTCCCTTTCTCCTAACTTCCTGCCCCACATTTGAATTCACAGAGCACAACTGCCTAAATAAATTGCAGATTTTTAAGGCCACTGTGACCTGGCCCGAGTGTTTTGTTAGAGCAATAGACTAAGACATATGAGGTAAGTTAATATTAACTTTGCACTCTTATGAGTAGGGATGAAAAAGAAATTCTGTCCTATTTTGCTACTATGACACAAAAACCTCAAATCAGCCTGAAACACATCAACAATAACTTCATCTTACCGCATTTTCCAAAGTTATGGAATCTCAATCATTTTTCTAATCTCAAAAAAATACACATGTACTTATTTGAAAGGCATTGTTGAATTATTTCTAATTGTACAAAACAAATTTCCTAATGATTTCCTTGAACCTAAACAAATTTGTACTGCACAGCATTTTATAGACTTACAACAATTTATTTCTAAAAATGGTCCAGGATGGTCGTTTTGATTCTCACCACTCCCATCATCTCCCCTACCCACCTACAGAATCAGTATAGGAAAAATTAATCACAAACTTAAGATTTGTGTAGCAATACCGACTGCCTGGTTCCCATGGGATTCACTGCTTGATTTTTTTTACTTCACCTGGCATATGACCTAAAAAATAAAAGCTATTGCTCAGCACCTGGGTGCTGGAATCCAGACCTGACTCCTAGTTCTAATAAATTAACAGAGCAGTCCTCCAACTGCCCGAGTCCTAAGCAGCCCTTTCAGCTGCAGCATGGTGTCTCTTCTTATTTTGTCATAGTTGTGGTTTGGGTGATGGATCCATTGGTAATGGGGTCATTGATGTCTCTATGTGTGGCGGTAATCTGTTGAAACTAGCTCTTTCCAAAAGTGGAATTCCTCTTTTTGTTTCAGTGGAGGTGTTCTTTTTGACTACACATCTCCTAAAACAGAAACAATTGA